ACATAGGGTTCCAACAAAATCCTAGAATAAAAACTTAGCTACTCATGTTCGTTACGAAAAACATAATAAAAGAAATACGGAAAAACATAAAAGCTAATAAAAGAGGAGAACTATGATGAAGAGTCGTCAAATCTTCGTCTTCGTTCTTGTGCTCCTTGATTGCGTGTAGAAAGATGAAAAATAAAAACTAAAGATAAAAGATAGATCTAATTGTGTGCTTTTGGCCTTTAAATAGGGTGCAAAAATATAATAGGGCGGGTTTCCTTGTGTAATTAAACTTCCTTCACTGCGCCACCTCGCCAATCCGGACGGCTGTGCGAGAATTCCTTCTTAAATCCGGACGGCCGTCCGGTCTTCAATTCTTCAGAATTCTGATTTTTTCACTTTTGACCCACTTTTCTCCGAATTTGCAGTTTTCACCCCATAAGTTGCCAATTCTTCAATTTGCACCTAAAATACGAATAATAGCCATTTTAAGCACCAATTATCATTAAAACATACCAAAAGCTCCAATTAAAAGGTATAATTAAGTGTATAAATATACACTTAACAGTTATTCAGAAGGTTTTAGAAATTGCAACAGTTACGGCGGCCTATAATGTGAATAATCATTTTGATTTCGCAAATCCAGCATATTTATCGCTAGAATGTGCCAGTGAAATTAAATGCTCTAAAAAAACAATAATTAGTTAATCTGACCCGTTTAATAATTAATATGCATATATACATTTCAAGTTACTCCTTTGGGTTTACCTTGACCATTTCAAACTTGACTATACGAAAACGATGTGTCTTAAAAATTCTTAGAGGCAACTGTGGAAAATAATAATAATAATAATAATAATAATAATAATAAATAAATAAAATTTTATCCTAACAATTGTTTTATAAGGCAAGGATATTTAGAAGGGCATATTACAAATAAGCCCATCAGTGGGAACTTATTCATAAAGAGATCCGGACAATATTCTCCTTTACCAATAAGTCCACACATGGTCCAGATTTATGTAAAGGACTAAAATAACCCCTCTTACTTTTATATGCTCCAATTTCATCCTTAACTTAATTTAACTTCAATTTGACCCCAAATTTCACAAGTTATTCAATTTTGACCCAAAACTTTTTTTTTTTCACAAATTTTTTTTTTTCAAAAACTTTTTTTTTCCGCCGGATTCCGGCGTTGACCGGCGGTCAACGCCGGTCTCCGGCATTGACTTTTTTTTTTTTTTTTTTTTTTTTTTTTTTTTTTCTTCCGGATTTTTTTTTTCCGGATTCCGGCGTTGACTTTTAATTTTTTTTATTTTATTTTTTTTATTATTTTTTTTTTTCTTCCGGATTTTTTTTCCGGATTCCGGCGTTGACCGGCGGTAAACACCGGTCTCCGGCGTTGACTTTTTTTTATTTTTTTTATTTTATTTTTTTTTTAATTTTTTTTTCTGTAACTTCTTTTTCCGTTTAAACAACAATATTGCTTTGAATGACAGTAATATTAACTATATTACTGTTAAACACAGTAAAAATAACTAAACTATAGTTTAACACAGTGATATTGCTATATTAATCTCTAGCACATTAATATTAACACAACAAAATTCATTATTATTGTATAATAAAGTAATATTACTATGTTGTCCGTTCAACAAATGTAAACAAAATAAAAAAAACCAAAAGAATTAATATTACTGTGAGTGACAGTAATATTACTATAGCAACAGTAATATTACTATAGCAACAGTAATATTACAATAGTAGACAGTAATATTATTACGTTACTCCGTGAATAACTCAAACAAACAAAATATCCAAACAAAAGAATAATATTGATGTGGTTGACAGGAATATTACTATAACAAACAGTAATATTACCGTCAACCACAGTAATATTACCGTCAACCACAGTAATATTATTGTGTTTACAGTAATATTACAATAATAGACAGTAATATTAATACAAACACCACAAAAAAATAATAATATTGATGTTGTTGACAGTAATATTATTGTGTTTACAGTTATTTTACTGTCAACGACAGTAATATAATTACGTTGACTTGTCAACAAATCAAAAAAAAATAAAAAAAATAATAATAAATAAAAAAATATAATATTGCATTAATTTATGTCAACGGCAACACAATTACATAAATGTAATGTCAACGGCAGTACAATTACGTTAATTAACTATCATTGACAGTATAATTACGTTAATTTACTGTCAGTGACAGCACAATTACAGTCAACGTTTAGCGGCGGACGTGGAAAAACAAAACAAACCAAACAAAACAAAACAAAACAAAAAACTTAAAAAAACACTAAAAAAAGAGACCGCCGGAAACCGGCGAAAAAATCCGGAAGAAAAGAAAAGAAAAAAAAAAAGAAGAAAGCAAAAAAAAAAAAAAAAAAAGTCAACGCTGGAAACCGGCGAAAAAATCCGGAAGAAAGAAAAAAAAAAAAAAAAAAAAAAATTTAAAAAAGTCAACGCCGGAATCCGGCGGCAAAAAAAAAGTTTTTGAAAAAAAAAATATTTTTTGAAAAAAAAAAATTTTTGGGTCAAAATTTAATAATTTGTGAAATTTGGGGTCAAATTGAGATTAAATTAAGTTAAGGATGAAATTGGAGCATATTAAATTATACTCCAAAAAAAAGTCAAAATTGAATTGTTGTGGTCAAAATTGAACTTTTATGGACAAAATTGATTAATTTGGATTACAATTAAGAATTGGGTATAAATGGTTGAGGGTAATATTGGGATACACATGAATGTTTCCTTTAGTTATAATAAATATTAAAGGGATGGACTTATTGGTAAAAGAGATATGTCCCCTAAACCTAGAATAATAAACATGCTTGGTTGGGGACTTTTGCATAAAAATCCCTATTTAGAAATCCGTAAAGCAATTAATTGATAGCGAAAGCATTTAAGGGACTGTTTACTCGATCTTTATAGGATGTACGAGATCTAAAAAAGGAAGAAATTTTAATGTAAAGATATGATTATTAAATTATATTAAAAATTAAATTATCAGAGGAAAACAACTGAAAAATATGAGATGAGAAAATAATTATTGTCATTATTTAAAAAAATTATAAATATGTCATTAAAATTTCTTAGGTTTAGTTGTTTTCTTATTTTTATATATAAAAATAAATCATTACATTTTTTATATTTACAACTAAGATACTGGAATCTAATGGGTAGTCAATTTTATTAAAATAATATTCATGTCCAATAAAATATATGATAGAAATTGACTTTGAATTATTATTTTATTTTCATTTTTTGGAGTGTAGTAGAATTATACACGTTCACAAAGAAATTGCATAGTTGCAAATTGCTTACACTCATTTCTTAATCGCTAGTCCTTAGTTGTAGCCTAGTAGGCTTCGCATAGAATATATGTAGTCAAATATATATATATGTAGAGTGATGTTTGAATTACGTATACACAATTGAATATATATTCACATAAGCAAATTTATATTTATTATTTTTTTAATTTATTTGCTTATGGTATCTTTTCTGGACTATGATTTAATATGGGATATGCCGAGTGATTGTTAATCGTAGATGGGGTTAAATAATCATTCATTAAGCATACACATATATATATCGGTGTGTCGGTGTCTTGGGGTTTTGCAGAATTTATATCTAGTGTAATACAATTATTTATGCAGATCCATGGTTTAATACCATATGATGTATTTCATCAAGTGTAGCATCTCATAAACCGTGTGTGTGATATTATGTCTAGATCTACGATTAACACTAACCCCCAATATACATAACATTTAATTTGTAACATCTAATTAATATAACTCCTCAATATGACTATTGAGTGGTTTGCCCTAATTGATGCATGCACTAACAAAAGAATATTCGTCTGCTCATGTGGAGTCATGAAATTTCTTACAAGTCAAGAACAAAATATATATATATATTTCTAATTTCATCACCTTTAGATATTATTTGTTTCCAATTATTTCATCACCTTTAGATATTTCATGTTTGTTTTTGTTCCATATTCATCAATTTTCTTACGTAAGGGTTTAGATTTTCCTACTCTAACCAACTTAAATAAACTCAAACAATTAATAAATATTTAGTAGATACAAAAATGTGTCCAAATATAAAGCAACATTATAGTTTCATATTAAGTTCATTAATTATGTCTAATAACATATGAAATATTTGTACATTGTAATATAATGCAATGATGTTGTGGAGTGTAAAAATGTGGAATTAACAAATATATATTAAGTTATTATAATTGTTATTAATTTTATGAAGCTAATTAATTTTACAAAAGAAATATACATTTAAGTCCTTGAAATTAATTTCGTTATTACGTGTGAATTGAAATTCTCTTCGAACGCCTAAGAAACTAGATTTTCAAATTTTATTACTTTTTCAATAAATTAAAGTCAAATTATAATTTACGACTACCATCTATAATCGCGATACCTATAATATTGTCCGCAGATAAACAAAAAAGTGTAATACTTTCCATAAATTAAAAGTAGCCAAGACGTATTATTATCATTCATCGGCAAAATCTCGTGATTTGATTATCGATTAATTAATACAATCATTGCACTTCCTATATAAAAAAATAAACGCGTTTCAGTTTCCAAAATAAATGAAACACGGCCTCTATAAATACAGCGGACACCCGTTCATAGTTAAATCAACAGTACAAGAATACAGAAGAACACAGTTCTATATAATATATATCTCACTAAGTATATATTCATAGAGTTTCTTCAAAGTGTTCAATTAGCTTTCTCTTTGTCAAAGTAATGGGTTATCAAACTAGCATATATGGTTATGCAATATTGATCTTATTGCAATTTTTTCTCCATCACCGGTAAGTTTATTTCTTTTTTTTTTTCTTTTCTTTTTTAATTTCTATTTTTATCCATTTGTTTCGATTATTAATTATTCTATTCGTAGTTGGTAACTTGAAGATTTAATTTTGAAATATATATTATTTTTTAATTTATTTTTGTTAATTTGGTATGCAAATCATTATATGAAAGTAATGACTAAATCTAGAATCAAGATTTATCAAATGAGATGCATGCATAATTATGCAGTTGACTATAAATGGACGTAGAATGCCCTAATTCAAAATCAGATTGCCAAATCCTATACTCAAATTTTCTTTTAAATGAAATGTTAAATTATCGTTACCAAAATAAAGAAATAAATCTGTAAATCGAAATCAGATTAAATCATATCTCACACAATTTAATGATGAAAAAAAATCCAACCTAAATTTTATTTCCCACAATTTCACTATAAATACCCCACAAACAAACGTAGAGCGCATACACACACAGTACACACAGAGCAAAGTTTCATTTCATATACAGAATAATTCTCTGCAACTCAATTCTAATTTTCTATTCAACAATGGCGGGCAGGCAAACGAGGGGGCGACAGAGAATCCCGATCAGGCTGATCGAAAACCAGGACGATCTGTACGCCACCTTCTCTAAGCGGCGATTGGGGCTTTATAAGAAGGCGAGCGAGCTGAGCACGCTTTGTGGTGTGGACATTGGTATAATTATCTTCTCCCCTACCGATAACCCTTTCTCCTTCTTCCATCCGTCAATGGAGTCGGTCATCGACCGATTCAGGAACCCCAATCAGCCCCTCAGCGACTACGCGCGGGTGGTTGAGGCGCACACACGCGCCCGGATCGATAACCTGAACCGGCGGCTGGACGAGATCCATGAGGAGAAGGACCGCCTTAAGGAGAGGGAGAAGGAGCTCGACGAGATCGACCGGAATCGGCCCAAGGGGTGGTGGGAGGAAACCCCGATCGAGAGCCTCTCGCCCGAGCAGGTCCAGGAATGGAAGGCGTGGTTTCGCGCCTTCAAGGTCAAAATACAGAACCGGATCTCGGAGCTCAACAACATTGGAGCTTCGACTTCCGGTGCCGCCGCGGCGGATGCGGCGGCGGTGCCGCCTCCGCCGACTGGAGGCGAGATAGTTCCGGGCATGTTTGCTCAGAACTACGACTTCCCTCCGGGGCCGTCGTCGTCGTCTGACTCTCCGGTGGCATTCGGGGATCACCAGTTTGCCACCACACAGTACTACAATGCGCCGCCTTACACTACGGGCGGTGCTAGTGGAAGCGGCGGCGGAGGACAGTACTTTGTTACTCAGGCGGGTGAGGGGCCGTCTGGTAGTGGCAGCGGGCAGTTTTCTGTCCCGTACAATTTTGGTGCTCCTACATTTGGGGCGGAGGGTTCGTCGGCGGCGGCGGCGGCTGGAGGAAGTGGCGGTGGTGGCCAGTTTCCTCCGATGCAGTACAATTATTTTCCACCACCGCCGCAACAATCGGATCATGATAATCAGAATCAGGATCCGACATCTGCTACTGTTGGAGAATATTCCATACAGTATAATTATATTCCCCGGTGGGGGCAGGATCCATCTTCTGGTGGAGGAGCCGGTCCTTCCCACCGTGGGAATATTTAGTTTTTTTCTTTTTTTTTTTTTTTTCTTAAATAAAATTTAATGTGTTGTATAGTTTGTTTGCATTAATTAATGCATGGTTTTTTTGTTGTTGTTAGTTACTTTTTTTAACGTATAAATAACTTGCATGGTTTTTTTGTTGTATTAATTAATTACTTAATTAATTATTGTATGGTTTTTTTAACGTATAAATAATTATTTGCATTTTGAGTGTGTCTTTGTTATCTAAAAAGTTCCTCTAATTTTATTAAATAATAATTATTAATTTATCAATTAATTAATATTTTACCAAATTAATAAAAATTTCGTAGTCCAGAATTTATTTAATTTATATGAGTTAAATTGTATATAAATATTTGAAAACATGTGTTCGGCTTTAATAACAACCAAATTAATTATGAGGAATAAAAGTGTCAAGATGTTATTGTGAATACGAGAACTGAAGAGAACAAATTATTTATATCACGATGAACCGGTAATTAGATGGGACATATTACAAATAAATCCATTAATGAGTACTTATTCATAAAGAGATCCAGACAAAAATCTTCTTTACCAATAAGTCCACACATGGTTCAGATTTTTGTAAAGGACTAAAATAACCCCTCATACTTTAATATGCTCCAATTTCATCATTAACTTAATTTAAACCCCAAATTTCACAAATTATTCAATTTTGACCCAAATTTTTTTTTCCCGCCGGATTCCGGCGTTGACTTTTCAACTTTTTTTTTCTTCCAGATTTTTTCGCCGGATTCCGGCGTTGACCGGCGGATTTTTTTTTTCTTTTTTTTTTTTTTCTGTAACCTTTTTTTTTCCGTTTAAACAACAATATTGCTGTGATTGACAGTAATATTAACTATATTACTGTTAAACACAGTAAAATTAACTAAACTATAGTTTAACACAATAATATTGCTATATTAATCTCTAGCACATTAATATTAACACAACAAAACTCATTATTATTGTGTAATAAAGTAATATTGACCGTTCAACAAATGTAAACATAATAAAAAAAACCAAACGAATTAATATTACTGTGAGTGACAGTAATATTACCGTCAACCACAGTAATATTACCGTCAACCACAGTAATATTACAATAATAGACAGTAATATTTTACGTTACTCCGTGAATAACTCAAGCAAACAAAAAATCCAAATAAAATAATAATATTGATGTGGTTGACAGCAATATTACTATAACAACAGTAATATTACCGTCAACCACAGTAATATTATTGTGTTTACAGTAATATTACAATAATAGACAGTAATATTATTACGTTACTCCGTGAATAACTCAAACAAAACAAAAACCCCAAAAAAATAATAATATTGATGTTGTTGACAGTAATATTATTGTGTTTACAGTTATTTTACTATGAACGACAGTAATATAATTACGCTAACTTGTCAACAAATCAAAAAAAAAATAATAATAATAAAAAATAAGAAATAATAATATTACGTTAATTTACTGTCAATGACAGCACAATTACATAAATGTAATGTCAACAGCAGTACAATTACGTTAATTAATTATTATTGACAGTATAATTACGTTAATTTATTGTCAGTGACAGCACAATTACGGTCAACGTTTAGCGGCGGACGTGGAAAAACAAAACAAACCAAACAAAAAAAAAAACTTAAAAAAACACTAAAAAAAGTCAACGCCGGAAACCGGCGAAAAAATCCGGAAGAGAAGAAAAAAAAAAGTTTTGGGTCAAAATTGAATAATTTGTGAAATTTTGGGTCTAATTGAGATTAAATTAAGTTAAGGATGAAATTGGAGCATATTAAATTATGCTCCAAAAAAAAGTCAAAATTGAATTTTTTTGGGCAAAATTGGATTTTTGTGGACAAAATTGATAAATTGGGGTTACAATTAAGAATTGGGTATAAATGGTTGAGGGTAATATTGGGATATACATGAATGTTTCCTTTAGTTATAATAAATATTAAAGGGATGGGCTTATTGGTGAAAGAGATATAGCCCCTAAACCTAGAATAATAAACATGCTTGGTTGGGGACTTATGCATAAAAACCCCAATTAGATGTTATATTCGGTTATTTACATTTGGATGACTTCAACCGTAGAAAATTCGTAGATCTATATATAATCAGAAACACACAAAATAGCTGAAGGATTTTTTTCCTTTTGTAAAATATTTCTTTGTGATAAAAACTATATTTTTTAAATATGTTGATGATGCATTTATACATGATTTATTTTGTTTGAAGGGTGCAAAGTGCTATTAACTAAACATTAAATACACTTAGAAATGCAAACTTAAGGTCGGTGATTACGACTCTTTTGCCTTCAGAAGACACATAACTGTCAATTTTCTCGAATGCGGTTGTGTGAATCTAGAAAACTGAGCATAACTTCTGGTAACGAACTTCTTTCTTATAAACCATTTTTTTGTGTTTGAAACTACACTTCAAAACTTTTTAATTATATATGTAGGCATGGGCTATATTTTAAAACAATTCTCCTCTAAAAAATCCGCTTTGTGAAACTAATTGACGTATCGAGAAGTGTTCCAATGAATAATTCACTTTGCACATAAATAAACAATTGAGCTTGGAGAAGTCCACTTTGTGAAACCAAACAAATCACCTTATGAAATACTTACAGTCTGGAGAGACGAGGGATTAATTTAAATGATAGGATGATGTCTCCCTAGAGAATTCTCTTGAAAACAGAATTGCTAGAGATTATGGATATTACTCACCTCAATATATAGTACTTGATAACATTAGACATCTTTCGAGGCGCATAGTTTCATTCAGAGGGCAAATTAAAATTATTTTGTCAAACATCTCTTCATTAATGTGGAGTTTTTCGAGATAAAGTTCTTTTATATGCTTAGAGAGTATCTTGTGATCTTCAATAGTCAAAATGAATCTTCTCACACACAAATCTTTGAGAGATTCAGCTTCAAAGACTATAGATGGCAAATGAACCTATCTGTATCAATTCAAATAAACTTTGTTACACCCATATTTTGAAGTAATGGGATCCATTTTTCAAGAAACAAAACCGATTCTTAATCATAATTGTAGCACAACCTTTGATCACAATACCGTATGTGTTACACTTACTATGTTTAATTTAAGGATAAATTACACCCGCACCCCTGAGCTATATTAAAATAACTTTAAGGTCCCTGTTGTATCTGTAATTACAATTACCCCCTAAAACATTGTTAGAAACTCTAACAGGTTAATGCATTGGATACGTTGTTCCGATAAAATTTTAAGGGACTATTATTTTCAGCAAGTGGTGGAGACAAAATAGAGTTAGGGGTGATTTAAGAAATATTGGGGGAACCATCTCACCCCCTAGCTCTATGTTGTCCATCACTTACTGAAACTAATAGTATGTTAGAACTCTATCGGAATAACATATCCAATGCATTATCCCGTTAGAGTTTCTAACAGTGTTTCAGGGGGTAATTGTAATTACCGATACTACAGGGACCGTAAAATTATTTTGCATACTTCAGGGGTGTATATGTAATTTACCCTTAATTTATTGATCCGTATGTGGTTACATAGCCACTTCCTCAAAGGTCCATTTGTAATTTTATTGCTAAAAGTTAATGTTGGACCCAAATTGATATTGTAGTGACTTGTGGGAAGTTGTAAAGTTAGACAAAAAGATAACTTTGACCGTTAGTGGGAACTATGACATGTTTTGAGAAATTATTAGAAAGTTCTCAAATAATATGATATGAGAAATCAAAAAATAAATACTTAGATATGTAAGTTTATAGCGATTCACGTGTATAATAATGATGATTAGAAAATTAAAAAAGAATTTTGTACTCGATATCTTTTATTTTGAAAATTAATCGGATAATGTTAATTATTAACTCCATCTCATATAATATGTTCTACATTATAAAACATCAATATGTTATATTATTTTACTTGCTTTTAGAATTCAAGAAGTACAAAAATTAATTATTTCAACCTTGTAAGTAAATAAATGCAATTATTTCAAATTTATAAGATTTGAAAATCATATCAAATATATCAATTCAATAATTCACTTTTAAGACGGATTAAATATTTGTCACAATTAAGTCTTGTATATCCCCACGTGATAATTATTTCAATAATTCCTATATTAGCACTTGAGCAGCGAGTAAATGATAGCATCTGGATCGGGTTTAATTCCAGTTTATGAGTAAACTAAATTGATATACATGAATTTTCGCTTGATAGAATTTCAATAACTTTCTGCAAAAAAATTGCCATTTTTTATATTTATTTTATACATAACTTATATAAATAAAATATAATATTATAAGAATCAAATATTTTATCTTCTTAAGTAAATGAACGCAATCACATTCACTAGTAAATTTTATGGTACTCTACAATAATTCACTTACTATTCAAACAAACAATTCCACATAATTTTTACTCACCAAAGAAAAGTTAGATAGGTCACTATTTTATTGGAAAAAACAATAAATAATTTTTGCCTATTTTGCCCTTACCTTGTAACTACCCTAATACTACCATTGTTTACTCATTTCAAAGGTCTCGAATCCTGTCTATATATTGAACGCCCGTGACACATCAGAACTCATCACACACACGAGTAAGAGGCGTAAGAGATATTGAGTTTATGTGAATAAAAGACAAAGGGTGAAAATAATATAGAGTTTGAATCAAAGGTAAAACTCGAAGATGGAGAAAGGAGGAAGCTCAAACATAGAATATAAATATACAAGAGGAGCACGCACATCTGGTACAACTGCACTCAATTTTTCCTGCAATTCGATTTTTAAGACTAAATCCATATGAACAATGTGCATAGATTTGTTTTTTTTTCAATTTAATTTTCACATTTCTCATTTGCAGAAGTAAAAATCAATTGTTAATTTGCTAGATTTAGTTTTAGGATAGTCGATCTTCTATTAGCTAATTTGGTGCGATTTAAGTTCACAAATATTTTTGATGCTAAATGGATATCTTTGTGTTAATTAGATAAAACATGATCTTTTGCCGCTTTCGTATATAATTCTATTCTTATTTCTTTTATGCTTGATGAGCAACGCCTTATTTAATTTTAATTTCTATGGTACTTTTTAGAAGAAAAAAAATGGTCAAACATAGAAAACACATTAATATTAATTATTTTGATTTTGTTCATGTACTAATTGGATCCCAATTTTCCATGCTTTCACTTAAATCCAACACGGTGTAATTAGTTCCTTAATTCAATAAAAAAAATCACAGTTAATGACTGGTCTTTATTTTATCACAAAACAAAATGTGACCATATGGATCAAATTATAATGAGTTCTTAATGTGGATGAAATTGGTTTCGATCGATGAAAAAGGGAAATTTAAGTCAATATAATCTTAATCTTTTTAAGGATGCATCTCTGTTTAAATTCAATTATTATGTTGCATATATCATTTATCGATACACGTCATATGTATATACATATTAAATAAACTTCAACATAAAACATACAAGTAAAAAATGTTACATAGTATAAAGAGTGTGAATTTAGTGCAATTTAAGTGAACTTCTCGTGCGTTTTACACAATTTGTTAGCTATTGGACAAAAATGAATAAATTCACACCAATATACTTGGTTCTTTGTACGCGATAAAGATAATAGAAATTGGTCATAAAACAAGACCAAGAAATAGCAGAAAATTGACTAGTCAATTTAATTTATAAATGTACTTGAACATGTTTGAGTTTTTAGTTTGTTCTACGTACTTATATATTTTTGAAAAATATTGATTTTTTATTTATTACATTGCATATATAAATCCTACATTGCATTCATGTTTATATTTTGTTTAAATACATATAAACTGTGTATTTGTATTTGAACTATATATAACGTTTAGCCAATTATATATTCGTGAGTATATATTGAGATTACTATCATTGTGTAAAAAGAAGATAGAGTGATAAGATTTCCATTAAAATATGTTAATAACCAATTATCATTTCAGTAAATAGTCATCCGGGAAGGGGGTGCCGCCCGTGCCGCTGCTACAGCCACCAATGCCGCCAACATCGCGGGCGCCCCACTGAATCTCGTTGCTGAAGAAGTGAACCAAGAGCAGCAGGGCTTCAAAAAAGACGCAGACGAGTACATGCCGATAGCTAATATCACCCGAATCTTGCGGCGCATCCTCCCCACCCATGCCAAAGTCGCCGACGATGCCAAGGAAGCTATCCAGGAATGCGTCTCAGAGTTCATCAGCTTTATCACCGCCGAGGCAAACCGGCGGTGCCGCCGTGACTACAGGACAACAGTCACACCAGAGGACGTGCTGGCAGCAATGGCCTCTCTAGGTTTCGACGACTATTTGGAGTCACTCACAGTTTTCCTCAACAACCACCGCACGCAGCAGGACCCCGAGCGTGGCTCTAGGAATCAAATATCGCAGTTTGTTAGGCGAGATGACGGGGTCGGAGTTGGCTTCCTTCACCACCAACAACCGCAAGGTGCTCCCACGGTGTGGCCGCCGCCACCACCACCACCACTGGCGGCGCCAACAATGGGGTATTATGTCCCCTTACCGCCACCTGTTGCTATGGAAGATGAGGAAGAATTTGGTGGGCTGCCGAAGGTAACAAATAAATTTGGTGGTGGAAAAGAGTTTGACCCGTTTCAGTAGTTTGAAATATGATAAAATGCACTGAAAACCCACAAACAATTAAAAGCTTTTTTCTATGGTTGTTAAGTATTTTTATTTTATTATCCTTGTTGTTAAAGATTTTTTGCTACATGCATATATTGACTTTTATAGATTGGTTGAAATTGATACTATACTTTGTGTCTTTATAAAAAATATCAACTAGATTTTGGTATAACAAACTAAAATTATCAAAATTATACTACTTTAAACAGCATTGGTACAATATCGTAAATAGTGGTTAAGGTAATGGTATGACATTCTCTATACTATAAGAACAAAGTACAGTATTATACAATGTAATCAATATCGCGATACGTTACGATTTCTATAGAAATGATTACTCGGCATATGTATCGATCTTCTTCAAATATTGGTAAATATCGCACGATATCGTGATACAATAGAATATCACAATACTATACGATATCTACAATATTTTATTGTGAGGATGATTTTTGCGCTTTCCAACACATCTTGGGTTAACTTTGAGCGATTTTTACGACATTGTGGGGAGATTTTGTGTGATTTTAAGCAAAATGTATTGTGATTTGTGCTATTTTTAGCACATTTTGGATGATTAATGCGATTTTCAACATGATTGTTTTATTACACTTGTGTTTGGATCCTTATTTTAATTAAGGCAAAGAAAAAATAAATTGATTCAAATAAATTCTACTATTGTCCTCATCAAAATCAACAAGTTTGTTCAAAATCACAAAAATCAAAAGCAATTTATATTAGCATAGGTAATAAAATCGACACTAGCATTCGTCCTATAGGTTATTTAATATTAAAACTTTAATTTAGATGTTTTTGAATGAGTGGTTTGAGTTTAAAATATTAAAATTTACATGCTGATTGTATTTTTATTATATAGAGATTACTTTTACTATATTTTTAATAATTAGTCAAACATCTTACGATACGATGGGATATGTTAAGGAAAATTATATGCGATATATTTTCGATTTGATAAGATTAATATGCTATTTTATATCATAGTATAATTGTGTTATTTGTTTACTCTTTTTCATACTATTTATAATTTTATTCTATTTTTTTGTTTCCAATACATTGTTTTAACGTATATAAAGTTTTTTTTCACTTTCCTATATTTTTTTATTTCCTACAATTGTTATCTTTTTGTTTATTTATTGTATGTATTTTGATGTTAATTATAACAAAAAAAAATAATTAAATAAGAGTTGAGTGGACTTTAAAATTAAGTTGTACGATTTACGAAGTCATTTGCAAGACAATGATAAGAAAAACTTGACAAATTTAATATAAAGAAGGGCAGAGTACCCATGTACCAATGTATAAAATATCTCGATAAAATAATGCTATACAGTTGGTATATGAAAGTGGTCACAAACATTGATCTGTCTACCAAATTAACTCATCCCTAGATTTTGATATCCCTAAAATACAAAACACAGTTGTTAACCAATAGTGAATTAGGGCAAGAAGCCCGACTTGAATTTGAAAGACTTTAAGAGAAATGTTTGAACTGGAGGAGTAGAATAGATCACCTTGGCCTGGTGCACTTTTTAAATGACGAATAATGTGATGGAGAGCTTGCATGTGCCATGTCCTTGGATTAGACACAAATTGACTAAGACAATGTGATACAGCCCAGTTATGCATCGAAGTTACCGCTGAGCTGGCCGGAGTGCAAACTCCAATTGTGCATGCTGATGAAGATGGTAATGAGATACACGAAGATTATCATGCTCCTAATGAGTGCCATGAAGGTGTATCTTCGAGTTTGATTATTGATGGAGTTGGTTGTACCAATGCGACTAGTTATACTTCAGTGGGAATGTTGAGTGTATCAACTTTGGAGTATTCTAGGCCATATGAGCTACAATTGTTTGAAGATGACTGTGAAAGATGGTTTTTATATGCTCCTTTTTATATATGTCCGGATTCGAGGACAAATCCTTTTAAAGAGGGGGAGTATGATACGATCCACACAAGCTCAAAGATGAAGAATTGGAAGAAGCGCAAGCGTACGAGTTGAGAGGCTATTCGAGTTATCCTTGGAGAATAAAGGTTTGAATGAAACTTTTGAAGAGTTAATAGTTTGGAATTGGAAGAAAAGAAAAAGGAAATTCATCGGACTAGCCGAATTCCATGCATCCGAGATTCTCGCCTATTTCTGGCAGTTTTACCATGCGGGTTGTAACTCTCTCATATCACATCCAATTTAGGTGATTCGAATTGCTACGGAAAGTCAACTGGAAGATATAAAACTTTTATGCTTTGATCCGAGAGATATTCGAAGTGGAATAGGTCAGAAATCGAGCTTGAAGTCAAGACACGTGCATAGCCAAGTGTCTACTCGAGTTATGAAGAATGTTCGTGTCGTCGACTTGATGTTTGGAGTTTAGATTTTATTAAAATACGTTTTTATTTTAGAATTTATTATGTTTTTATTATTTTAGAGTTCTTAATGGTTAGTATTTGCTTATTTATTTAGTTTCTTATTATACTTTAGGTAGGAGTCCTTTTCCTTGTGAAAATGGAGTCTTTTTAGACCTTATAAATAGGTTGCCACTTTAGCTTATTTTAAAGGAACGAATTTTGATGACTTAATTGAGAATATTCTCTTTGGTTCTTTAAGAACTCTTCGAACTTATCGGTGGATTCCGTTTTTTCACCCCGACTTATCAATCGATCTTTCACAATCGATTGTGACGTCTTTTCACATACCAAGGTTCTTGCCTCTTTATAGGCAACGAGTCGCAGTTCCACCCTTTTGAATCCTTGTTTTTGGATGTTTTCGATCTTGCTTCCGCGTAAGGTATTAGGGTCTCGTAACAAGTTCTACGTGGTTCGTATCAGTTGGTAACCAGAGCCAACATCCAAAACAGGTTTCACCTATCTTTATTTTTTGTTGTGTCTTCTAGTATATCTCATATTTTCTTGAGTTGTGTTATTTAGAGTCTTCGTAAGAAAATATATATACAAAAAAATTCGAATATTTATTTTTTGTTTAGATTTCTTTTCAGCCAAGTTAGGGTTTGTTCGTGTCAAAAGAAAAAAGAAAAAAGAAAAAAAAGTCGAATTTTGTTCTTGTTTAGAGTTCCTTACAGCCCAAGTTAGGGTTTATTAGTGTCAAAAAAAAGAAAAAAAAATTGTTTTGATCATGTCAGAGAAGGCCGGTTATAAAGGTAAAAGAATTGAGCAGCGTAGGATGTCGTCCATGGGAAAATGGTTTCAGGAACTTCAGGATTAGATGGAATGAATTGTTACCCAACTAAAGGAACTACGCAAAGATCAACATGTTCGAGGGCCATACGTATGACGTGATGTTCACCAACCAGTTATACCTTATCCTGATAAAGAGGTAGATCGTGATGGAAATTTTTGTGTGAACGCTACAAAATCAAGGAGGGAGAGTATGAGACGAGGGTCCAGATTGGAAACTTCGAGCCGAGGATATTTTGGTCGAGAAAGAGATGGCGTAGATCGAAACCTTAGCTCAATGAAATTGACGATACCATCGTTTCAAAGTAAGAGTGATCCCTAGGCGTAGATTCAATGGGAAAGCAAGGTTGAGCACGTATTCGATTGTAATTACTATTCCGAAAAGAAGAAAGTGAAGCTCGTCGTCGAAGCGTTCATTGACTATGCAATTAGTTGGTGGGACCAATTTGTCTTAACTAGGCGGCGTTGTGGCGAACCACCAATTGAAGATTGGGAGTCCATGAAGGCAGCTATGAGAAGGAGGTTCGTTTCTTCCCATTATTATTGGGAATTGAAGATGCAGAGCTTGAGGCAGGTTACTAAGTTGGAAGAAAGGAGTTCATCGAGTTTGAAATCACATAGGAGATCTTCAACGAGCCTAACGAGAGAACCATTACAAAAGCCCAAAGCAGAGGAAATTCTACGAGACAAAGGAGACTACGAGCAATTGATAAGAATGGGTGATTCTTTATCGCCACTTGAAAAGGAAGATACTCGTCAAGATTTTGAGAAACAAAACACTCAAACTGATTTGGGAGTTATTAATGAGCTAGTTGAGGTCGAGTCCAAGGGAGAAGAAAATTGCAAACCCACGCCACCAGTTGAAGAAAAAGAAGGTTCGGATTCGAGGGCGAATCCTTTTGAAGATGTAGAGAATGATACAGCCCAGCTATGCATCGAAGTTACCGCTAAGCTAGCTGGAGTGCAAACTCCAATTGTGCATGCTGATGAAGAAGGTGATGAGATACACGAAGATTATCTTGCTCCTAATGAGTGCCATGAAGGTGTCGTATCTTCGAGTTTGATTATTGATGGAGTTGGTTGTACCAATGCAACTAGCTATACTTCAGTGGGAATGTTGAGTGTATCAACTTTGGAGTATTCTAGACCATATGAGCTACAGTTGTTTGAAGATGATCGTGAAAGATGGTTTCTATATGCTCCTTTTTATATATGTCCGGATTCGAGGACGAATCCTTTTAAAGAGGGGGAGTATGATACGATCCACACAAGCTCAAAGATGAAGAATTGGAAGAAGCGCAAACGTACGAGCTTGGAGAGGCCATTCGAGTTATCCTTGGAGAATAAATGTTTGAATGAAACTTTTGAAGAGTTAATGGTTTGGAATTGGAAGAAAAGAAAAAGGAAATTCATCGGACTAGCCGAATTCCATGCATCCGAGATTCTCGCCTATTTCTGGCAGTTTTACCATGCGGATTATAACTCTCCCATATCACATCCAATTTAGGTGATTATAATTTGTACGGAAAGCCAACTGGAAGATCTAAAACTTTGATGTTTTGATCCGAGAGAGATTCGAAGTGGAAGAGGTCAGAAATCGAACTTGAAGTCAAGACACGTGCACAACCAAGTGTCAACTCGAGTTATAAAGAATGTTCGTGTCGTCGACTTGATGTTTGGAGTTTAGATTTTATTAAACTACGTTTTTATTTTAGAATTTATTATGTCTTTTTGGCCCATTTAATGCTGAAACATGGTCGTTGGCC